TTGAGTTTCTGTGAGCAGAGTACCTTTCCTCAAATGTAGCAGTATGGCCATTTTTTTTGGCAGGGGGGAAGTGACAGTCTGCATACCTAACTTGGAGAGTTGGATGTACAATGCAGATCAGTTTTATAAGGAGTTATTAATGTGTTGACCATACTTTAATTTACTTTTTGATGGGTGTTGCTTAGCAATAAATTAGTTTGGCTCAATATGTATATGCACTGTTAGATTTTTGTATCACTTGAGGCAGCATTTGAAATGTATTTGCATTGATATGTACCCATGTTTGATACTGCTAAATGCATAGATATCGCTGATATTTAAATGAAAAGTGTTTGTTTCATAGGGATAAAACCACGGAAAAGGAAACCTTTTGGTTTATCAGGAATAATGAAAAAAGAAAAAGATACTGAATCTGTGTAAGTATATTTCCATCCTGAAGCCTTGTCCTGTATGAAAACTAGTAGAAGTATGGGGATAAACAGTAGTTGATGCTTAACAAAAAATGAAGTTTAGAATGCTGTAAATGTCAGTTATTTAAGATTTTTGTAACAAAGGATTTTAAAGTAATAACGTAAATGTATTGACAGTAGTCTGCTCATGTTTCATCCTTTCCTGTGCATAGGTAAGTAGTTTTCACTTGTTCTACATCTGAACAGTGTAGTTAATGGGATTCTCATGTGTGGTCCTAATGAAATAACTCCATACATGGTAAAAATGCTGGATACCTGTGTTTGCAGAATTGAAGCTTCAATTATTCTTTTATTAGAAAAACTTTAGTGTACAGAATTGAAGGACAGAAAAATACTTCAATATTTTTTCAGTATGTCATGTGCACACTTGTTTTTGAAAGCCCATCTCTCTAACTGATATCCCGGCTATACCCTTCACCATATTCATTGCATGCTTTCAGCCTCACAGGAGTTAAAACTCTCCAGAAAGTGAGTTTGAATGAAAGTTCTTAGATGGACTGATTGCAGTCTGTGTATTAGTAGTTATGGTCACTGTGTTCCAGTGTATTTTTTTTTATAATTTCTAGATGCGTTTTCTCAATAGAAGCATTTGATTTAACAGAAAAAAAGCCTATAATTTCACAAACTTAGCAACACAGAAATATTCTGAAAGGCAGTATCTGCATACATACTTTTTAAAATTACTTCTAAAAATCTGTTACCAGTCTTATTTTCTAATATAATGCTGAAAAAATAATGACCCAAGAACTGCAGGTGCTAATTATTTGCACATACAAAATTCCTCATAGCTATTTTTCTTTTGATCTTAAATTTTGATAGTGATACACTTCCAAACCATGCTTTTTCTTGTCTGTTATGACACCTTCAGGGCTCCAAGCTGTTGGGTTTTTTAAGTCATTCCTCTCTATTTCTGACCTTTCTGTGATTTAGTCCTTCCGCCACCCTCTCTTCTGTACTTCATTAAGCTGGAGTAATTGGTGAGAGAAGAGTTGTGTATAGTGTGATTTTGATCAGCAGTAATATGAGAATACTGTTTTGTTACAAAGAATTATTTTTTTCTCATGAATGTTTAGTTTAAAATAATAAAATATTATAAATATTTTACGATATTCATGTTTTAAACAGCTTTGGTGCTCTTAAAGTAATTAATTCTTTCTGGAAAGTTATTTACTATACTTTTTCTGTGATGCTGAACAGTTGTAGTATCAAATAGCAGCAAAAACATATGTTTGATCATTTGCCTTTTGTGTATTGCACTTACTAAACTGCGAAGTAGTGATTTTGATAGTATTGAGTACTGTTATATGATTGAAAATCATACAATTGATTGAAAATCAAAATAATTGATTTGCTACCATGTGGGTTATTACTCAGGCTAATCTCACGTCATGTATGCTATAAGCCTTTTTGCAAATCAGGCATCTCTTTCCATTCATTGTTTGACAAATGATGAAATATAATCTGACGCCGGGAAGGATTTAGGGCTCTAAATAGCAGTTTTCTGGAGCCAGTAGAGGCCTGGAAGCTCCAAATCATAGAATCATAGAACAGTTAGGGTTGGAAAGGACCTTAAGATCATCTAGTTCAACCCCCCTGCCTTTAGCAGGGACACCACACACTAAACCATGTCGCCCAAGGCTCTGTCCAACCTGGCCTTGAACACCACCAGGGTTGGAGCATTCACAACTTCCTTGGGCAACCCATTCCAGTGCCTCACCACCCTTGCTATGAAGAACTTCTTCCTTATATCTAATCTAAACTTCCCGTGTTTAAGTTTAAACTCAATTCTTCCCAGGTCTATGTCTCAATATATCCTTACTCAGAGATCATGTTTTTCTTTGACTTGTAACACAAAGAAAATTTTCTTAGGCATTCAGGGTGAAAACTGGTTTCTATGCAAGCGAAATACTTTCTATCTTTGTATGCTTATGCATTGTAGTATCTGAATGCTTTTCTAAAAGCTGTTTTTTCACAAATACATTTTATTTAACATTGAAAGATAGTATTACTGTTTCTTCCTAAAAAGATTTTGGTTTTCTTGGCACAGTGATGTCATCAGAAAATACGAATCAGATCATCTGAAATAGGAAAAGAATTTGCGTTGCTTTCAACAAGTCAGACTCAAATTTGATTTATATTATTTTGTTTATATACATACACACAATACAAAAAATTAGTAGATTCTTAGGTCAAAAAGAAGGAAGTATGACAGCATGATATTGATCTGAGACATTGGTCATTGGTGATGAGACATTGGAACAGTGGCCCAGAGAGAAAATGACCTCTTAAGTAGCAGATGCCACAGGCTTTTATAAAGATTCTTGCATTAATCCGTAACTTGTGACTGAACTAGAACATCACAAAAGAACAACAGAGGATTCATTATGTTGCTGCAATGTTGCTGTGTACTAAAATGCATGACCTATATCTTCCATCTTAAAAGGGAGACTGTACATCTAGTGATGTAAAAGCACATCTGTCTAATACCTGATGTCCTCATTTTCCATTTCACCAGCATTTGCAGTCTATTGAGTTTTCCTTTGTGTCTCAAGAAGGGATTCTGGGAGGTTCTGTTGCTGCTCCTCTGAATGATACTAGATCTGCCATTACTTTTTGAGATCTATTGGCTCACTGATTTTGAAAATCATCATTACGGGTTAAATTACTTTCATTGTAGTTTGCCTCACATGTTTCAAATTTCTTAACCTTCATGAACTTCAGACTGTCTTGTTTGAATACAGACACTTTTTAAGCCACATGTCAGAAAGTCAGTTTGTTATCTTTTGAGAGAAGTCTAATACTTTCTCTTGGAGCTGGAAAAGACCTTTTAAAGTAGCTCTTTCTATTGCTGTGAATGCAGTTTAGCCAGCAGAGGGAGATAAGATGTAAGTCAGTTATAAACCTGGTCACATATATTTTCCTTTTGTGTCAGGCCTTTTACAGGATATGGGATCCTTCACCTCACTGTCAATTCTTTAACAGGCAATACTGAATTTCATATTAATGCTTCCATGTTAGCAAGTTTTCATATATTTTTTAAATTACACTGGAGTTTTTGTATTTAACCTGCTTAGGCTTTCAGAGAAGATGATTTAGATTAAAATACATTTGAGGGGAGGAAGTGTCACCTTTTTTCTATAAGTGCAGGTTTCAGTTTTATTATATAAAGTCACTGTTGTGCGGTTACAGTGGCACTTCTGACTTTGTCAGGTTGAAAATTAGAGAGGACTTGTATGCTACTCAAATATTCCCACATTCTATAAGTGTAACTGCTTCTGCTTTTTGCAGACATCAGGGAGAATCAGTGTCATTTGGGTTTTTTTACATATTGCTATTTAAATCAAAGTTATAGTGGAAAAATATAATACTTGTGAGTAATGTGCTTGCAATCATTGCCTTTCTGCTGATGACATTTTTGTGTGTTTTAAAAAGTGCTTATTAGGAGGGTACTGTTACTGGTTTTTTCATCATCTTCTAGTGCTTGGCTGCAACTGTGCTTGACAAACATGAACTAAGAATGAAATTCCAAAAAAGGGAAGCTCTGAATTCCTCTAAGAATAGTCATCATTTCTTTGGGAACTTGTTATTGTCCAGAATGTTTTGCAGTTGCATGCAGACCATTTCATTAGAATTGGTGACTTCTACTTAGTGTGCACATCAGACACAGAGTTAAAGTATATTAATTCAGAATACAGTGGGGCACTCCTGGCTTTGCTTGGTTGGAATTTTTTAATTTTTCCCCCCCCCCAGTATGACATGAGTTAGATTTTTTTTAGCATTTCTTTTGAGTTTTTCTTTTGCAGTGGTGTGAGCATAAACTTTCAGCTTTTATTTAAATCTCACTCAGTTGAATGTGGATTATTTATAGTGAAAATATTAAGGCACTCTGACAGGCAAAACAATTAAATGCAGTGTTTCAAATTAGTTGAAAATATTAAAGGAAGTACCAGAACTGTATGAATAAAATAATTCGTGCATTTTATAATTCTGTATTTTCCTTGTTTGTTTCTTTTTTTTTTATAGGGAGTGTCCAGATGCAGACTCAGTTGTAAGTAGACATATTCCAAAACAAATGCATATGCTAATATTGTCAAGCACAACACTCTGATTAAATCTGTAATCTGTACTGTCCCTGCAATGCATTATTGACCTAATAGAGGATTTATTGTTTTGATAACATAGCCGGAGTGTTACTTTTGCTCAGTACATAATCTTTAGCAATATATACAAACGTGTCAGTAATACATCTATGCTTCCTAACATTTTAGGTTTTAAACAAGGTGCTTTTACTGCAAGTACTTGCTACTTCACTTTCCAAGTTAGTGGTTGGCTAATAGATTCTAAATAAGAAAAGGTTCAGTTTATTGTGCACCCAACTTTGCATCATGATATTCCTCTGCTTACTACTGTTTCCTTTGAGAAATCCTTCTAATATCAATGGGGTTCTGCTTTATCTCTAAATGTACTTTCTAAAATATGGCTTTAAATGCAGTATTTCTAGATGCATTTTATTAATGGCCTGGTTTTCATTGCTGTCAGTTTGATCTGTGATACATCTTATGATTTTGTTTATGAAATTCAAGTAAGTGACAGCTGCAAATTAAATTGGAATGTTAATACTTTTTTGCTTTCTTAACTGAGCCTTTTTATTTAAACCTTTATGTTGTCTTAAATTAAACGTACCTATAGGAAGATTACACCTACCAATAGCTATATTAGGGAATTATTTGCAGAATAATTTCAGTGACTTTCTGTAGACTGATCTGATTTTCAGTTCACATATTTAGATGCCAATTATATTAAACAATTTTTCATGTTCACCTATTGTGTGAATTTTCTTCTTTGCATTTAGTACCTGGGAGTTTCAGTACCTACAATTAAAACTTCTTTTGAGAAATATGGTTTGAATAATCTAGTAGAACCATTCTTCGAAATAAGGAAAATTAAGTTTTGCCACGTAATAGAACTACATGTGCAAGAGCAGCCTGTAAGCATCATCAGGACAGTTATTTTGTCCTGTGCAAAGTCATCTTGACTTAGAGCAAATTTCTTTTCTTGGGTGTATTTAAAGTAAACTAACTTTAGAATTATGCCTGTAATTATCAGGCTTTTCATGGAAATAATATCTTTTGACAGTTCAACTTGAGTCACTGGAGTGAACCACAACTGAGTTTGACTTCCAATGTTTATTTTCCTCTTTGCATATTTTGGTCTCTACATTTTGTAAAAATAATTAGTTCAAAAAATTTGACTGTAAATGTGTTTGACATTCTTTCTGGCTGCATGGGGCACACCGTATGATCTTCTAAGTTAATTGTTCTGCCTAGATGTAATTTATATTTGGTTTAAAAAAAAAAAAGATGCAACTTGCAAAGTGTCCAACAACAAAATTGGTACTTTTATTGCATTTTTTTTTTCTTGCCCAACTTTTTATGACTGCATTTTAATTTAAAATTTGGTCTGTCATTTCTTCTTGCTTTTTACAAGCAACAGTATTATTCTGAATGGTACAATACTTTAATAGCAGAAGCCATTACGGTCATCCTTGTGAAAAAATTATGCAGCATGCCATAAATGAGATTCATTTCTCCCCTTACAAACAAGCACCCCGGAGTGCTTTATATTTAAAGCTGGTGTCCTCTTTTGGAAGATCCTATTTCAAATGCTTTTCACTTGTGTCTTATTTTAAGATTTCCTTTCTCTTTGATTTTCCAAACATCACCTAAATATAGACATCTATATTGTTATTTCTGAGAATTTGTTTTGTATGGGATCTTTGCAATAAATTACACATTTCAAGAAATTGAACTTGGAAAAGTATTATTGAAAAACAAAAATTGAAAGCAATTATCATTTGTGGTTGATTGATAGAAAATAATGAGGACCAGCCCTCAGAAAATTCAAGTTGTTTAAAGTTCCTATGATTTTGGTCAGCTTCAGTCACTCACAGAAAAAGTCTGTCTAGCTTTTATATTATTAACATGATCTTTTTTTTAAAGGTGACTTTTGTTTATTTGTCAAGAATTTTAATTGTGTGAAAGGAATGTGAAAGATAACCACTTTAGAATTATTTACAATGATAAGCACTGAGGTAAATATTGAAATTTTAGAATTTAAGGATCCAGTAAGAACTGAGTTCAATACTTTTATCTACCAATTCTACATGATATTATGGATCTTTGAACATGCAGTGCATATTCAGTATCATTAGGGCCTTCTCACTAGTCCAAAATGTATAATGCAATGTGTTCAAACTTGTATTCTCCGTTTCCAGAAAACAAAACAGTGATATGGCCCTAAAAAATGTCTTTCATACCAAAATGGAAGTTCTCAAATATATCTGTGGCAAGCCATCCACTTAGGCTCATCCATTCTGTAACTGCCAGATTATGTATGTTGAAAAATGTGATACATTTGAATAAATTGTTAATTTCTAAAAAATTTTGTAACTGCTATAACAGGTTTTTATGTGTAGGGATGCAGCTGTGAACTGAGAACTGGTATTTGTTGAAAAGGTTAACCACTTCAATAAACCGTCTCTGTTTAAATATAGATGGCAGTATGTCATAAGTTTTAAAATTCCTGTGTTGTTACATGTCAATCTACACATGTAATGTCGATTAAACTAAGCCCTCATAATTAAGAAAAGTAGAAATTTAACTGTGTGTACACTAGAAAAAGATAGCAACTGAAGTCTAGCTTAGTGCATTTATTACCTTGAAAGCTTTTCTAAAGGCGGAACCAACTCTCTTGTTTCCCATGGGTGTGCCCTGTCTCTGTGGCCCATAGGAACATATGAGCTCTAGTAGAAACTTTATCTCTCAGGAAGCAATTACAAGGTTCCGCTTGTGTCCAGTAAGATCTGAATTTGGATTGCAACCCTTACTTTGGCTGGGATACTTGCAGATCTCCTTACTTAATAGATGCACTGCTATCCACAATATAGCATATAATTCTGTAACCCTAGGAGTGTGGAGAAGGGAGTAAGAATTAGTGAAATAAATGTAAATGCCTTCATTAACATCAGATTCACGAATATGTCTCCCTCTCAAAATGATGTGTTCTCTATCATTGTTATAAAAATGTAAATTAGTAAATAAAATTCTCATGTTTCAGAAAGCAGAACCATTCATCAGTTCAACTGTTCAAAATATTGAAAACACTATTCTAAAATTACTACTTAACATGTAACATTTTGAGGTACCTTTTTGCTTGCCTTTGACACAATTGGTCTTTCTCAGTACAAAGATACATTCAGTATCTCTTCCACCCTGTTCTTCTATTGGTTTACACAAAAATATTAATTAATGAAAGCAGAAGGTGTTTTAAGAATTATAATTGATTGATACAAAATCAGTCCGAATCATTGACAAAAGTGGAAGTACAAAGCAGATATTTCTGACTCTGTATACACTGTGTAGTCAGATGTTTTAAATTACATCTTTTGAAACTTTAGAAATGGGGGGGAAAGTATAAATTTAGTATAAATTTCTGCACCTTGTTAGAAAAAAAGCCTCCTGAAAAGAAAGAAATTTTTCAGTTTCTGTGTTTGTAACTTAAGCTGTAAAGCATCCATCACTGTCAATATGTACGTAACTTTTAGTCTGAAGTTATGAATACAGGCTACATGGTACATTGCTATTACTGTGGAATATATGAGTCAAATATCTTTTCAAGATCAGAAATAATTAACATGAAAATACTAAGAAATAAATTTATTAAGAACTTTAAGATTTTAGTGCTATTTACTTTATCTAAAAGATTACTTAGTAAATTAAAAATAATGCAATGAAAATAACTTCTGCAAAGTTATTTTATATTAAAATACTCAAATTTTCCATCTACGGGGTGCATGCTGTGTGTGCCTAGTAATAATATCCTTTACATATATGGCCCAGCTGGAGGAAAAACTAAATGTTGTATATTTAAAGATTTTTGTTGGTTTTCAATTCATCTTAACCATGAATGATTCTGATCCATTGAAAATTGCCCAGTATGACAACTAAAATAATTTCAGAATTCAGGAGTTACAGTATTGTAGGAAAATGTACCTACCCTCTAGCTATATGTTTTTGTTCTGTTTACTTTGATGTCAAGTTTCATTAGTGTTTTTTGGCATATAAATAAGGTCGGCCTGAAGTCAAGCGTAGCTAAGAACCCTGATTTGAGCAAGTAGAGTTAAGGTACTAGACCTTGTGGTCCTACTTTTACTACGTTTCTTTTCTCTCTTTTTTTTTTTTTTTTTTTTTTTGGTTCACTTTTTTTTAAAGAAAAGAAAAATTGAATAGCTGTGCAGTCCAGATCTTACAACTGTTTCAGGAAATTGCATCTATATGTTCCATATTTTAAGTTTTGTGCTAAAAAATCAGATTTGGCCTTCGCTTGATGCGCCATTTAATAGGGTTCAGTATTACATCTCCTACACAGGATTGTATTTCTTACTCTTTTTTTACTAGAAAGTTTGTTTAAATTAATTCTATTTAATTTAATTCAGTAAAATATCAGACATCCCATTTGTGATATTTGCAAAGGGAATAGAGGGAAAACTACATTTTTATTTGTATTTTCCTCTGTAATTCAAAAGCTCTTCAAAGTGACTATCTCCTCAAATCTGGCTTCAAATTTTAGCTGAAGTCAAGTGGTTCCTGGCTAGTCCACTTGAAGTCTCCAGTGTAAGTTATTATATCTTGTGTTCCCAGCACAAGAGGTCTGTGGACCTTTTCAAGTGAGTCCAGAGGAGGGCCATGAAGGTGCTCCAAGGGCTGGAGCACCTCTCTTCTGAAGATAGGCTGAGAGAGCTGGGCTTGTTCAGCCTGGAGAAGAGAAGGCTCTGGGGAGACCTTAGAGCAGTCTTTCAGTACCTAAAGGGGGCCTGCAAGAAATCTTTAGAGGGACTTTTTACAACAGCACCTAGTGACAGGACAAAGGGGAATGGCTTTAAACTGAAAAGAGGGTAGTTTTACATTAGACATTAGGAAAAAAATCTTTACTCTGAGGTGAGATACTGGTATAGGTTGCCCAGAAAAGTTGTAGCTGCCCCATTCCTGGAACTGCGTATTTTTATGAGAAACATATAACCAGTGAAATAACTACATTTTTCAGCCACTTGAGTTGTGAATTTTTGTAATAAAATTACAGAGGCATCGGAGCAGTTCCTGTGGACTAACTCTGGATACATAGTAATGTGTGGGCTTTCCTGACGTTCTTATATTGTTAGCTTTGAAAATCCAGGATGGGGTAGGAGATACGTAATGGAAAACTTCAGAATCCAATTTTGTGCACTTGCATATAAGTTTCATCCATGCCTTTTATTTATGGTGGATACTCTTTGCTTACTGTCTTTTCAAGAGTACATGCTTACTGTCTTTTCAAGTTGCAACTTGTATAACCTGGAATGCTTTTACTCACATATTAAAGTACTGACTAGTACTTAGCAAAGGTTTTGCTCCTGCACTATCAGAGCCTGAAGTAACTTAGTTGAGAGAATTTAAAGTAGAAACTGGGAAAATATTTGGTGCAAGACCATTGCAGACTTATTTAACACTCAGTAGTAAAGCTAAAATGTTTCTGTTGGTTTCTTCTTCACGGAGTACCAGTACAAGCAGATGCATTCAAACTTGCCAGTTTTTATGGTAAATTTGGAGGTTGATTTGTTCTATTCTGTTCCTGCAGTTATCTTGTGACACTACTTTTGAACTACAGATCATTACTTGAGATAACTGTAATAATGAATGGTTAAGAACAATTATTTTCACGAGCTGTTGTAATCAAATTCTAGTTTGTCAATGATATAAAATTCCGTCTGATGTAAGAACAACATGAGGAGTTTTTTAGCTATTTGTCAATATAATATTTTTTGTTGTTTTTAGAACATTCCTGATGTAGATGATGAGGGATACAGCATTAAACCAGAAGCAACACACGATATCCTTTTTACCATTATTGTGCCAAGTTATTTGATGTTATTGCAATTGTTTGGAGACAGGAATTACTGACTAAAGTATTAAATAAAGGAAGATGAATGACACTCATGCTTATGTTGTAACATAAGAAATATTCATAGCTTTTGCAAAATGTACAAAATTTGTTTTTCTTAGATTTTGTGTGTATGCAAATATTAGATCAGATTTCTTGGGAACTTTAAGAGAATGGGGTTTGTATGGCAGTAGAAAAAAAAAAAATCCTGAACAAAAGCTTTAAGGTGACTATGAAAATCTTTCTCTGTGAAAACTGCTCAGATAATTTATAAAGTGAAGATTGTAAACTTTTTTTAAGCAGAGTGGTTATCTTTCTGTACCTGCACCCTCCCACTTCTTTATAACACCATTAAAAGTACTTAGAGCTCCAGCAGTCTAAAAATAAAATTTCTGTTGCTTAATAGAGTCATTACACCACATGCTATTTCTAATTGGTGCTTCTAGTTTTTATTGTGTTTTTATTAATGACTTTGATAAGCAGAATAGATTTTTCTTATGAGTTATTTTTTATGGAGGCTCGTAATTTTTCTTTGCTCTTCCTTTCAAGGAAAATGTTCTCTATCTTCTTGGTTTTTTCCTCCCATCAGAAAAGGAGAGAAGCTCTACCTAAGAGCTAGGAATAATTTCTGTAGGTCTAAGCAAGCCTAATATATTAGCAAGATAGCTCATCTTTGAAAACCTGTCCACTGAATTCTCTGGGTACTGCAAATAAAAGGTAAACTTACACTTTGCAATTACTGTAAATTGTGAAAACTTTTAAGCAGTTAACAGCACCTTAAAGTGAACAAGTCCATCATCATAGCTTCTGTTTTCACCAACTTTGCAAAATACACCTCTGTTGCCCCCAGTGAAGGTACCTGTACCAATAAAAGCAGCTTCTATTTACAGAATTGATATAAAAGTGACAGACTTTTATCCAGTTCTGAGAGGGGCGTTATTTCATGTTTTGCATATATTTACAGAAGGGAGAGAGGAGTGAATAACATTCGTGCTTTGTAAATTATTGATCTGGGCATCCTTTTCTACATTATACTTTCTGTTGTGAAACAGTAGAAGAGGCCATACATTCAGTGAAAAAGCTCAGTGATTTTCAGTCCCTGTCAGCCAGGTACTTCTGCTTCTGAAAATCTTTACCAGATTCAGGAATTCATCAGTTTTCTTCCTCTTTTCTTCCCTTAGCTTCCAAGAGTGAATATTTTTTCTATTGATTGGAATTCTTCAGATGATTTATTGGAAGAAATTATTTAACCATAATGGAAATTAGTCTTATTAAGTCCAGTCTTAAGTGTTGGAAAAGCATTTTACAAGAGCTGCCTGATTCATAGGAAATAAATCTTGAAACTCGGTGGTAACTTCCAAGACCAGAGATGTTTTGATGAAATGAAAACTGACTTGTCTTTAAAGCTTACTTTTCTAGGTATGATCCATTTTGGGAGATAGATAAGCTGTAAGATGAAGACATTTGACTTCAGGGATTCTTTCAGCTGAAACGGATTTGGAATGTCTTTAGGATTCGGGTTTAATTTTTGTCAGGGAATAGTTTGAAGATATTTAATTCAAATGGCTGGTATATTTCCAAGGGAAAATAGCAGAAGCAAGTTTTAGAATATGTATGCTTCCACTAGGTGGTACAAAAATTTTAAGTAGAGGAAAATTTTCAAATTCTTTTCTGTCAAAACAATTGCATCTTTCAAGACTTTGCATAGGTCTTTCAGAGCTTTTTTTCAGTGCAGCTCCTGTGCATACAAAGAACTAAGCCTAAATTCATCTGTATATTTTGATTATTTTGAGGGCCGAGTTGTCATCTCAATTCCTTTTTTCCGAAGATGACAATTTTAAGCAACTGATGTTCAGTTTACTGTGCAGCCTTCTGTGTAACTGGCATCCTTTCTTGGAAAACTTTCAGTGTCAGTGTACAAAAGGGGCAAGTAATAGTGGCTGGCACAGTGCTGTTAATGCTTCGTTCAGGTACCATGGGCATTTCACTGCTAATTGAAAATTCCTTCAGTTGGTTTAAAAGGATTCCTGCGTTTTTCATATGTGTGTTAGAATCCCTGGTTATGTCTTTAAAGTCATAAGTTTAACATGAAGAAGTGTTGCTACCATGGTATCTTTAATTTATACTGATACCTTCAAATATGCAGATGTTCAGTTCTGAATATAGTTACCTTTTAAAACAAAATACTGATACGAACATGAGTGAAAATTTTAACTCAGAGTTGTGAATTTGGACAGTGGATGTATTAGAAGTGTCTGTGTAACCACACAAAGAGGTTAGACAGCATTATTTATCTGTGGTGTTGACATAATATAAGCATTTTGTAGAGTATAATTATGAAATAGATCAAGTGAATTAATTTGAGGTATTTCCACCTTAACTGAGAAAAACATTCCAAAGAGAACCATTTCTATTCAAGCAGTGATTCTGACTCTGAAGATGATGAACCCAGAAGGTTCCATGTAGAAATAAAACCTGTCCAGCCAAATAATAGCTCTCAATATACTGTGCCTTCCTTGGATGAATTAAAAGTATCTATAGGGAACATCACTCTTTCTCCAGCAATATCTGTAAGTTGCTTTGTTCCTTGTATTTTTAATATGCAGAAAAATGGTAAAGAATCTGTAGTGTAAACATGTATCTTACTGTTCAAAATTTATTCTAGGTTCAAGTTCAATGATTCTGTTTTTCATGTGCACTAGGTCATCTTTGGTATGCTTTATTGCAGTGTAACATTAAGTAATTCTCCCTTCTCAGATTTTAACTTTCCTTTCAGTCTTGGGAATGCTCAGTCCTTGTCTTTCTGCTGCTGCCACCCCAAGACGTTTGACTACATTGTGGAGTTAGCTTTTAACATAGTTTACTAATTAGTATTCAATAATATACAAAACTCTAAAACAGATCATATAATAGAGATACATGTAACATTTACAATGCAGTTTTATTGATGTATTCTGCCATTCCACAGAATGATTACCCTTTTATATCATGCAATGGTATTACAAATAAATAGTATTAAAGTATGGTAGTGCAATATTCAGATCAGAATAAGAATAATTCTGACATTAAGGAAAATATTGTGCATAATGTATTAAAATAATAATGACTATTTTTCTTTTTTTTCCTCACATTTTGAAAGCAGAGACACAGTCCTGTAAGTACAGTATGGCTCTTTATTCACATTTTTAGATTAAACTGAAGTAAGTGTAGTATGTGAGGGGAGTCACTGGGAGAACCTTAGGAATGTTTATTTTCATATATACCGTTTGATATATAAGCTGCTTGAATTTACTGCCCCAGCCTGTAAAGGGATTTAGTAATACTGAAAAAAAAGCTCCCTTTGTCAACTCTACAGGGTTCATTACTGCCTTGCCTTACTGGTGTGGCACTGGTTGCTCTGTCTTGCTTTATGTTCTGGTCTTCTGCAAGCTGAGAATGTTTTGCCTGGCACTGAAAGCAAAGTATCTCATAGAAAGTTAGTGGAAATAAGAACCCTGGGACTATAAAGCATTTGATTTGACAGTAAAAGAATTTATTCCTAATTTATTTTTTCCTGTTTCAGGCACAAATGAATCAAAATTTACCTAGTAAGTGTGAATCTTTAACTTCTAGTCTACTTATGTGAGTTTTTTAACATAGCATCAAAATAGATTTTTTTGATTGTTAAAGAAATAAACTTCTTAAGTATCTGTACATTAAATTTAAAAAAAATAAAATCTGTTGTCAGTTCTAGATACCTGGGTATATAGATGCTTTTACACTCTCTTTTATAGTCAAACACATAAAAGGTGGCCCTGGAGATAGAGGACAGAGCATTAGTCTCTATGCTGTAGGGTTTCTTCCAGTGGGAAATGAAGCCGGATTTGCTGAAGAATTGTATTGAAGTAAACAGTATAATTCAAGGAAGAAATTTCAAGTGAAAAACACTTCCTCCAGTAATGCATTGCTCTGTCTAGTTCTCTCTCCTATTAGAATGTATTTCAGGACTACCTAAATTTATATTATGAAAAAAAATGCATTTTCTCTTTGCCACTTTAATAATTCATAATTATTTTTGAACTGCTAATGTTAATCATAGAATTAACTAGGTTGGAAAAGACATTTAAGATCAAGTCCAACCGTTACACCAGGACTGTCAAGTCCACCACTAAGCCATCTCACTAACCGCCTCATCTGCATTGGTTTTGAACACTTCCAGGGATTCCACTTCCTTGGGAAGCCTGTTCCAATACCTGACCACGCTTGCAGTGAAGAGATTTTTTTAAGGATAATATTTTCTATCTTCTTACAATGAAGCTGAAATTCTTATTTTAGAGTGTCACAGCTTTGGCAATAATACTGTGTCTTTTGCTTAGGTGAAGAGTTAACAAAATCCAAGTTTTCTGCTCCAACTAATGAGTAAGTTCAAATTTAAAATTCTATCAGGTAGTTTTGTGGGAATTTGGTCTTACTTTGATATAATACTCAGAAACTCATTGGAAATACCAGCTGGCTGCTATTTTAAGTCAGGCATCTATTGCATCATAAAGAGTAAATTATGTAACAATGGAGGTTTCTATTAATTTGTGTCTCCCTTCTAATGTACTTGCTTCATTGTTATTCATCTGAATTATTATTTATACTGACATGATTACAAAATACTGGGTTTTGTTAAAATCTCAGGTTTTAAGTAAGACAGGTTTCGTTTGTATCCTATAGTGTTCCATGGTAAAGTTTTTAAGATTACAAGCCCCATATTTGGACAGGTCTGTATACATTATTTATAAATGTATATACAGAAATATCTGAAGATGTATGTCACTTTGAAAATTATAATCCTTTAACTGACATTATCAAGTCTACACACAAACTTGCATCAATGTGTCAGTTCAGTTAATCTCCATATCAGTTCCTTGATCTGCAATTTGTAAGGACTTCTTATTTTTATATGCAAAGACTAACTGATAAAGAAGAGTTTATCACATTTATCAATAATATTTATTATATTATCAAAGTACTACCAAAGTTGTAGCGTGATATGTATGAATATATACCCCTTTCATTTATTATTCCAATTGTAACTCCTAATATAGAAAGGCAAACAGTGACCTCCTGGCATGGGACCCACTCTTCAGCAGTTCTCTTGAATCTTCCTCTTCAGCTTCCTTGGCATCCTCATCCTCTTCAGGTAAAATATTTGATAGTAGAAAATGTTTTCTCTGTATACTTCAGGGTGTTCTGTTGTTGCTTTTTTAGTTATTGCAAGGGGACATGCTTAGACTATTGAAAGAATTTTGTAAAGCAGTATACGTTTATTTTCAGTCTGCCTACTGTGTATCTCTTTTCCAGCCTCTCCTGTGTTAATGTAGAGACTCCTCCCACATGCCTGAGAAAGGAATTGTTCACTGTTTCTTTTAACTGTGTATTCATATTCCAAAAATTATAATAGACCTTACTTCTTAGACCTCGCTTCTTTGTTCACAATCATAGTTTTCTAGCTGTTTTCCTCTGTGCTTGATCATACAGATTAATAAACAGTAAGGAAGAGTACGTGTATCAATAGGGGAATTCTGTACAACTAGAGTTAATTCTTCTTGGTCTTAGTAATGTCCTTCTAGCAGCAACCAGCATTGCTATGTAACCTTTCAAATTTAAGTAGAACTTCTTTCGTTATGAATTTGTCTTCCTTAAAATTTTTGTTTCTAACAAATCTAGCTTATGAAAATCATTAGATTTAGGTAACCACTCACAATTATTGGCTCGTGTATTTCAATTTATAGCATATTTAAGGATAAATTATACACAAATATATATTACTTGAACATCTGAAAAGAAGTGGTTCTTTCCCAAAATCTGTTTTGGTCTGGTGTTAAGAGTCTGCAGAGGAAGGCCAAGGACACAATTTGGTGAATACTGAATCCAGTTGTTTATGTATGGGAACTCAAAGCAGGTTAGGAAATGCTGGTACTTGCAGCAGAACTGTGGAGAAAGTAGTCTCTGGTTTATGAGTAGTAACAGGTAATTGGGATCTGTAACATTCTCTGAAGCTACATCTTGGGGGGAGTCATCTACCCAAGCCATCATACATGAAAAAGGCTTATGCACAGACCTCTACATTTAATTGAAATTGGTGGAATATGTCCTGTGAGCATAAGCTGGTACCAGACATCTGTGTTTTGGCAAAATTTATCTGCTAAATAATCATTTAAAGGATTGTTGTTCTAGGAGTTAACTAAGATATTTACACTTGTGCAATGATCCGTGGAGTTGAGTAGAAAGTAAGTGTCCAAATGTATAACAAATTACTAATACATTTTGGGGAAAAAAAAAACCTGGATTCATGTAGTTTGTATTGTTGTTTAAATCAAGTTCTGATGCCAACTAACCTGCAGCTTATTTCTAAAAAATTTTAAAAATACATAACTTTGACTGATTGTATTTTTTTGAAGCCATAGTTTTATCTTCAACTTGTAGGTTAATATAGGTAAATTGATGCTTAAAGCTTTGAAAAATCTCAATCCAAAATTTAAATTACATGAATTAGTCAGTTTGTATACAGCATATCTGCATATCCTGGTGTAGCATGTCCCACAGATTACTCTTCTCTTTTTACTGTTGAAACATTTCTTTAGATATTGTTTTGTAACTCTCTGTTAATCATTGAACACTTAAACTACCCCATGGTATTTGAGCAGACAGTGGTTTATGCAGCACAGAAGTAAACTTCGGTCATCCATGAATAATCCTGCTTTATTAGAAGTTTAAGCTAACTTTGTTATCTTGAATAACCAAAACAGACATTTTTTTAGCCAGCTATTGATATTGTAAAATAGGTTCTTATTATTTATGTTCCTCATTTTCATCCATATGTATTTTTAAAGTCGTTTTGAACATTTTCACTTTGTTTTTTGAATTCGTTTATAGTAGTACTTTAAAGCATTTGAGTAATATTTAAAATATTTCTTAGAAAGGGAAAGCTGTGTTTATGTTGGCTTAGATTATGCACTTGTTCGTGCCAAAAGGGCCACTGTAGACAGGACGCCTATACTTTTGATCTGAACTTTTAAACATGTTGCTCTCTTTTTTGATTCTGTATGTCACTCTGCCATTGCTCCTAGCTTCGCCAATCTGCAAGATGTTGAGAACTGACTAACATTGCTTTTTATGCTTTTTTGTCATCTACTGCAACAGGCAACAGCCAAATGCAGGGAATACTTGTGGAAAACTCCTGTTTTCCAGCAGCCTGAAGACTATAGGATGAGAGATGAAATAAACTGGGGTGGATCATGCCTTGTACATATAGTAACTTACTAGGTACAGGTTGATAGAGACAGAATATCAAACAGGATCTCATGATTGCATTGTCTGCATTCATTCACTGGACAGCCATTTATGTTGGGCCTTCTCATTACAAATGTTAAGGGTAAGAAAATAAAAATGTTTAGAAGGAACAGGGTAGGATAGTTTTGCTTAAGTAACTTTGAAATAACTGAAAAGAAGAAAGTAGGACACAAGAACAAAAACACAAAGATGAGAGGAAGTTAAAGCATGACAGGGAGGAAGTTGGAGGAATAAGGAAAGTAGAGCCGCAAGTGCAGCGAAACACAAATTACTTTTTGGCTTACTTAAAAAATGGGAAGTGACATGGTTGGCAGTATGAATAAAGTATATGTGATATGTGGCTGGGTTTTTTTTCTTTTATTTGTAAGTGGGATTTTTAGCCTAGTAGAACACTTATTTTTCATGCTGGCTAGTCTCATGCAGTGGATATTGAATACTTTTTTGAATATTGAAATTTTTATCTTTTCAATGTTGGTCCTAGTTTCAATTCTTCCCTTTTCCTTCAGCTACACTAAGAGAGCACAGTAGGAGCTCCTCCTCATCTACCACTGATTTGCCTGGGTGTAGAGCATGTCAGTCTTTGCTTGGACACCAGACAGATTCTGGGTCTGCAAGCCCATCCTCGCCAGACTTTAGTATTGGCATTTTGTGCAAGTCTGGTGTTACAGCAGCGTCATCAGAGAGTACCAGTACTTCATGGTCTCAGAGTCAGTGGATTTCCTTTGCTGATGAACTTCTTACAATTAGACATACAAGCACAGACAAGAAGGAACCCCAAAGATCACATTTTAAAACTGAAAATGCCTGCCTTGCCTCTTCTGCTTTGCTTGGGACTTCTTCCAACAGCTGTGCTTCTGAGGATCAAAGTGACCTTTTCAATAATGCTCTATGCCGTGAACAATTATTCATTGAAGAAACTGTCACTGCTGCTGAAATTTCTTCCACATCATCTTCAGCACTACTGGACTATAGTTTAGTGTCTTCTTGTGCTCATACAAATAAGGGTATGGCAAGCATGCATTGTGTACTGCTCTTTGCTAATAACTGACTCCAGAAAGCAAGCTTTGGACTCATTTTTTCTTTTTGTTATTACTGTTAACCTGATGTTAAAATTAACTCATCTTACTTCGAATGTACTAAACTGCTTATTAGCACGAACATCCTTGATAGTTAGGACAATGAAGTAAATATTCAGCTTGAATTAAGAAGAAAATTTCAAATTATTCAATTAAAGGCATTGCTTTCTCTTAACTATGCAGAGCTTTACTTTTGTAGAAATAGGAATATTTTTGTGGGATGTCAGATAGCAGTGAGATCTCAAAGATTAAGTGATTGATTTTGCGAAACTAATTCCTAAGTAGCTTTGTATAGATATTTTGATGTTAAATAAGTTGAATTTAAAACTGTTCTGTTTTAACACCCAGTATTTTGAAGCATGGATGATATTAGGGTAATGCTACATACTAAGAGGGCAAAAGAAAAGTGCATACAGGCAAGTGTGCCATGACTCACTGAATATACCGGTAGTAATACAGCGGACTACTCAGTGCTTAGCATGCCCTGTCATCTTGGAGCATAGTATGAATTTTAAAGGAATTACTGGTATTTTAGAAATTAATTTATTTAGGAATACTTGAGCTTGCAACTCTTAAGATGAATGAGGTCAGTATTAGTGTAAGTTCTTTCTTCCTAAGTCAGTGATGAAACTCCCATATTTAAATGACAGCAGAGTTATGCTGAATGCCTGAGAAAACTCCATATTTAAGGTTGCATTTTAAATAACATTGACTGATTTAATTAAATAAGAAACATCCAGAATAATTTGAGGAAGATGATAGAATGTGCTGCAACAACATAGTTATACATACATTAACATTTCAGTCTATTTTGAAGTTAATTTTACATCTGGCATACTCATTGAATGGCATCTAACATGTTGAAATACAATTGTATTCAGAAAAGTGACTTTGTAAAAGAGGCATCTTTGTACTGCTGCCACCATCTGTTAGTTGTTCTGTTAGGTTAAGAAGAACATGGGGCAACTTCTACTAGAAACATAACTTCCAGTTATTCAATTCAAATGAGTACATATTGATGTTCAGTGTGATCTTTCTAATATCTATTTCCTTAAATTTGCTTTCTTCCAGCAAGGCCCACAACTCCTCTTTCTATAGGCACCATTGTACCCCCTCCAAGGCCAGCTTCAAGACCAAAGCTGTCTACCGGGAAACTTAGTGGGATTAATGAAATAGTATGTATTGAATGGGATTTTTTAATTTTCCATTGTAACTTGATGTCAGAGGTACCATTCATTTATGCCGTTACAGTGGAGTTGCTTTGCAGCTAATGTTCAAGGAATCAAGCAGATTTTCACTGTTGCTAGACAGGCACAGATGTTGTTTGTGATAATAACATTACTGTAACAAACAAATTCTTAACAGAACTACAGAGGTCTAAAACATAATTTTTGCATCAGCTGAATGCTTTTAATTGAACAAATGAGTAATTTAATGAAAGGCTAGCATGCGTATGAAATTCAAAGGGAGAAGTCACAGCAGGGCTACTTGTCTCAACACATGACTTGATAAAGATCCACTTAATACCATTCATTCCCCAAAGCTTTGGTGATATCCCTAAATAAATGGAGCTTCTTGTTGAGATAAGCAGCCCTGCTGTGACTTCTCCCTACCCTTCATGCTGGTTGGTAGAGAAGGGAGGTGCAGCAGCTGCCTATCAGGGATAGTGAGAGGTTGCATGCTGCTCACTGCCTGCAATGTGGGTCCACTTGCTGATAAGGAATGTGGCAAAGACTGCAAACACCTAGACAGCGTATCACATCAAGCTACACTTCATCTTCTCTGTGAATTCTTTAGGTTTCATTTGACTTACTGACATGGAAAAAAGTTACCGTGGTTAAGATCCTCTTACTGTCTTTAAAAGTAGCAAGTATTTTCATCATATTCTTGTTATGGACAAAATTATGGTCTTATGCTTGGACAAAACTAAGATATTTTTAAACTGTTTTGCACTTTTATAAGGTCAGAATAGGGTTAATTTTGAGATTCTTTTCTCATTCCAATATGAAACTAGTAATTGCTCTTAGACTGAGTAGTCTGTTCTTTATGAAGAATTCAGCTAGTACTGTTCTGCTATGAAGTATGATTCTGCACAAAGCCTACATTCATTTTATACTGTTGTTTTAGAAATTGCCTATTATCTGGATATAAGTAGAAGATTGTCAGTTGTCCTCATTATATATAAACTCCTTTAACAATCCCCATAATCTGCATGTAAACCACATAATCGGCAACAACTGTGATAGATTCAAAAATAAATGGTTACTCAGCCAGAATAGATGCTTCAAGGGTTCCAGTACCTTTTAGATAGGTTAATCCAAAAATAATAATTTGTTAGTAATACCTGAACAGTTAAGTGAATCATAAAAATTTCCATAGATTTAGGATGGAAGGAACATTTTAAGATCTCTAGGCCAGCTTCCTGCTCAAAAAAGGGCTAACTTCAAAATTGCATCATGTTGCCCAGGGACATGCTAAATTTTGAAAATCTCCAGAGAGGAAAAGCTTACAATCTCTGTGGGCAAGCCTGTCCCAGGGTTTAACCATGAGGTTACAAGAAGAAATTTTTTCCCCAAGTTCAGATGAAATTTCCTTTGCTGTAGCTCTTGCATCTCTGAGAAGAGCCTGATGCCACCTTCTTTGTAAACCCTTTTAGCTAGTAAAAGACATTTGCTGCACACATACACAAGGCTGTAGGCTTAGGTCCTGCTACTGTGTTATTGCAGAGTTATTGACAGGCTGCTACATAATCAAATATATTAGACTTAAATACCCAGGCAAAAACTTAATAATGGTAATCTATGAAATAATGGAATTGATTCTAATGGGAAAGGTGGTTTCTCGGATTTACACAAAATACTAGGGTAGATAAAGCATTAAAGAAGCTATGTTGAGAAACACTATGAAATTGATTGGGGCGTGAAATGAAGAACTGTTCTATTTACAGGCTTTTTTTTTCATTGCTTTAAAATCACTTCATGTGATGCTATTGTAATCTCTTTTGTTCAGCCTAGGCCATTCAGCCCTCCATTGACTTCTAACTCCAGTCCACCTCCTGCAGCTCCTTTGGCACGTGCAGAGAGCATTTCCTCCATATCCTCTTCTGCTTCTCTCAGTGCAGCAAACACACCTACAGTTGGTAAGTTAAATTAAACATTTTAACTTATTTTAGAAATAGCATAATTCTGCCACTAGGTTCCACCTGTTAGGAAAGCCATTTGTTGGAGTTAGTTGTTCCATATGTGAGTCCAGTCTAGGTACTTCAAGCATCATTTGTAATGCCTGCTTCTAAATGACACTGACAGGGGATTTAATTGGATTAGACCATACATCCAATTATGGCATGTTCTTTAGAGAAATATTTTTCAAAAATAATATTCTATGAGTTCTTGTTTTGTATGCTTGTACATCCATTCATCAAGCACAACATGTTATCATATATTTGTTCAGAAGATGTTATTATATAAATGCAGGAATATTTTGGGATCTGAAAAGTCTGAATGAACATAAATGTTTACAAAATTGAGTTATGTTCTTTTTTTTTTTATTATCCTGTTGCATTTTCCAAAAAAAATGAAAGTAATGCATCTCTTTCTTCAAGTTAGTGAAGTATATAAGCTAAAGAGGTGTTTAGTAAAAGAAAAAAAAAAAAAAACAAAAAAACAAATAAGACGAAGATGAAAAGCAAATTAGTTTTCATGTGTTGCCACTAATTTCAGAAGGTGTTCTCATATTTTTAAAGGAAAGTCCTTCAGTTTTGATATTTGGTTATAACAAATGAAAAGGAGACTTATTAGGGAACAGTTTTTGTGTGGTTGGTTTGGCTTTTTTAAAGAATTTAACTTGTTTCTGTAGCAGAATTGAAGTGGTTTATTCCTGGTTGTATTACCACTTTAGTCCCAAGCCAAATGAGACAAGATCTTGAGTTAACAGTTACTTATGAATGTTACTGATGCCAAAGATTTCTCGCCCAGGCTCAGCAGCTCAGGAGAGCACCTGACAGCTTCTAGTGGGAGTAGTGCGAGTTCTGCACTGAAAGCAGTGCAGCTATTTCCAACTGTGCAAGGCAAAAGCTAGTAAGATTTACCTAGCCTTAGCTGTTACAGTTCAGTGCCCACCAGTTTCCCAAATGCTGAGAAGCATCACAGAAATATAACTGGTATTTTGGTTGCCAAAGTCCATCCAGGCTCACATCCTCAGGTCTCAGTACCAAGGAACCCAAAGTTGGTGGCAGCAGCATCGATAGTCCCAGCTGTGAGTGTGTGTGTGTGTTGTTGGAGACAGTGACAGAGTGAAATCATGAGGTGAGGGAGGAGGTAAGGAGGTGTGTGCTGATGCTGAGGTTTGGCAAGTTTATTCACTGGGCCTAGAAAAAATAAACAAGGACAGTTCAGTCTGCATTGACTGTAATAACTAAATAGTCCTGAAGAGCTGAGAAGGACAGTGCAGATAGCTGAAAGACTTTGGGGCATGAGCATATACTCTACACGACTGTCTATATTCTTTGACTTTTGCACAATACAGTGTTTCTGATACTCCTTTTGTTCAGAATAATAGAGTTGACTTTAATGATCTTTTTCCAAGTGAACTTTAAGGCATGTATAATTGAATGTTTCTTTTATGCTTTAGCCTTAATTTGCAAAATATTTATGTATATATTAATGTTTAACATTATTTTTGCTTGAAATACTTTGTTTTCTTGCAATGTTTTGTTTTATTTAAATGTAATAGAGGATGATCTTTTGATTGGAAATCTTCCTACAATTGAAAAGCTTTGTGAGACACCACCAGGTATTGTGCTCAAAGCAGATCTACATGTTAACTAATAATCCTAATATACTGCACCTAATAAAATTGTACTTTTGGAACAAGTTTGTCCAGCTTTTTCTAGTATCTGGCAGATACAAGTAGCCTGAAAGCTCAATTACATAGCAAGTTATATGTTGCTGAAATCACCAAAACTTGATATAACTGCTTTTATATAACAATCATCTGTCTATCTCTTCTCTGCATCAAACAAACCGGAACTTGCTCTTGCTTCTTTGGTTTGTCAATACTACTTTCTTTCAAGTAAAGTGAATACTTTTTTACTTTGACAATCATAAGACAAGTAGGTAAAAATGTTTCTATACTCACATATAATACAGTTCTTTGAAGATACAGATAATAAAGGTAATCTTTAAAAGAAATTTTATTTTCATGACAGCCTTTTAGCCAGTGTTAAAATTGTCTGAATCATTGTTCCTAAACTGAACTAAAACCATTTGATCAGCTTTGTTTATTTTCCCTTTTTATGACCTATAATGCAGTCTTTTATTCTGCAGCTTGGCAACCTCCCTGAGTGTGTCACTGCAACTGTTTGCATGTTCTCATCGGTAGTTCTTGTGTTAGCACAGCTCAGGGGCTGCTAATGGTGGTTGGGGCAGAGGCAGGTGGCAGGGCATCAAAGTCAACTTTGCTGTCACTGCTGAAGGTGCTAGAACTGGAGCCTTGGGCTGAGATGCAGCCTGAGATGCAGCGAGGCTGCCTTGACACAGCCCTCCTCTGAGAGCTTACAGCAGGTGTGGAAGGCCCTGTAGCTCGACATTGCTACATTGCTTTGTCTCTTCAGCAGCAAGGCAACAGAACAATGACTTCCAGAGTTAAGTTAAGCAGTTATGTTTGTTTCAGTTTACTGGGTTTTACAAAAACACATAGATTTTGATGAGTCAATGGGTGATAAACAGTGGGGGCAGAGTACATTAGAGAGAGAAGCTGTTTCATTTGTAGTTCCTCAAATACATCTCAGAGAAATTCATATACTCATATTTGTTTGCTTTGGTGTTCCCCCCAAAAAAGTAAAAATAGTGTCGTTATTGCTAATAAAATTCACTCTTTAGTCAAGAAATCAGTATTTGTCTTTTACCCATAGGAGTGTCATTTATGTATTTCCATTACTCTGCATTGCAAGTATCAATATAAAAATATACACAAAGACAGGATAAGTAAAATATTTAAAAATACGCATCTGTAAACAATCTGACATAATTAATACATGGTAATCACCTCCTATCTGCTTGCAATTGTTCGTTCTTCCTTAGTAAACTGGGAGAAAAAGATGGTAAAACACCCCAGCAACCATAGTGCCAGAACTACTGAGTGCATATTTTCACTTTAGTGGAAAATACTTCTAGAATTCAGTATCTCAGCAAACAGAATTTCTGGTTGTTGTTAATTCATTATTTTATTGCACATTTGCTTCTTGAAATTGTGATTTCTAGATTCCTGAGATTATTGAGAATCACAGCTTTTATTGGTAGGTTTTGGGGAGAAAAAGAAAACTTTGCAAACATGAACTATGTATTGTCTGAAAGAATAAATAAAACCAACCTACTATTCATACTGAAAAAATAAATAAATTAGTGTTTTGGAGCCAGCATCATAATATTTCTTTCATCTGAGAATTTCTGAACACCTGTGACTAGAGTATCACTTTCAACCTAAGGAGGACTCAATGTTGTGCTAAATTTTTTTCTTTCATGATGCTGAGAGTATTCAGAGTGTTCTACTAGCTTAGGCAAGAAACCATAATGAAGACTGAGGTATGAGGTAGCAGAGTTAGACCAACTCCTGTCTTTTACTCTTGTGTTACTACTTCTTTCACTTACCTCTGGATTTAAGGTCAAATATCTCATATTAGTCTTTGTGTGAAGAACAAAGTCCCAACTTCATTTTGGCTTTTCAAAGAGCTCACAAAGTACAGCCACTGTTCTAGAGTAAATAGGATTAGTTTGCCATGAGAAATATTATATTGAAGAATTTTGTTTCTGCTTTATGATGGTATGAGAGAAAAATTCTTATTTTGCTCATGAAAAAAGAAAGATTGTGCTTCCTTTGTGATAGTTAATATTATGTGATAAAGGACATTTCAGCAGTGATATAAGAAATTAAGATGCACTACACTGCTGTACTAATAAAAATTTAGAACTTCCAGTATTGTCTTTTATGTTTGGTACACATACAGAGAATTGGTGAAATGTAAAATCCTGTGACAATGGTTTCATTCTTAGTACACATATTTCAAAAAGCCTGACCATGAGATCTGAGTTCATTTTAGTAGCTATGCATTGGAACTGTGTTGTGTAAAGGCTTTTCCAACAACTTCTGCTTGGGAACTGTGACCTCTGTTGTTGGAAATAATTAAAAGAATATTCAACAGTTAACTTATAAAGGGTAATATTAATGTATTTACATTTAAGTTCATGCATACTGTAGGTGAATTCTTTGCCTTTCTGTGACCATTTTATCATACATTTTTCCATACAGTAAGCATACAGTAGGGATTTTTTTAAGTGTTCTAGTCAATGTCTAATTTCCTTTGGATCTGTTTATTTCACTTTCACCAGTAGCTATTTTAATGAAGTGTTCCTTTGTCTTTTCTTGTTTCTGTCCATTTACATAATGTCATACTGATAGACTTGTTTTCTTAGGCAGCTAAGCACTGTTTTGATGGTACAATTGTACTGCACTATGTATGTATTTCTTCAGATGCTACTGTGACCTTGATAGCAAAAATCTCATTAAAATTACAGATGTAGTCAACTGTTCTGAAATCTATTGTAAGCTTTTTGAAAATTAAACCTATACACTGTATGTATTCTAGGTGTTTCAGGTGGTCCCAGCCCTGTCAGCCTTGGAAACCAGGACACCTTGCCTGTTGCAGTAGCCCTTACTGAATCTGTAAACGCCTACTTTAAAGGAGCAGATCCCACAAAGTTAGTTAAATAGTGAATTGTTTTGAATAATAAGTTACAGTAAGAAAACACACTGGATTTACTTTTAATATTTTTGGGGAAAATGTTGTGTATTAGAAGGGGGATTCAGAGGGTTGGTTGGTTTTTTTTTTCCCTGATATACATGACAACAATGGCTTATTGCTCTGTATTGGCCAGCATCCCACTAGAAGTTCGTATATCCTTGCTTTACAAAACTATGTTCATTGATAAAACTGAAAATGAGAAGGGTTTTTATCATAGTCAGGTAGGTGCTACATGTAAATTTGGGCAGCTAAAAGCCTCTCATTCCATTACATCCCTTGCTATGCTACTTAGGCTTTGCCTAAGCATAGCTGTGCCATGTTTTCACAGCCTAAAAAACATCCACAAAGACTACTGTATGCTTTAACTGGCTAAAGCTTTTTTTTCTTATTTCATCTAACTTTCAAGCTGAAAGTGATGGTACATTGTCACATTACCCTCATGTGAAATCGATTTTCTGGTTTTAATTCAGATCATCAGATTTTGAAAGTACAGCAATTGCTTTAAAATTAGTATTAAAGCTAGGCAGTAATGAGTTGCAATGAAACTAGTGTTTTCATTCTTTTCTAGATGTATTGTGAAGATTACTGGTGATATGACAGTATCATTCCCAAGTGGGATTATTAAGGTGTTCACCAGCAACCCATCTCCAGCCGTGCTCTGCTTCAGGATGAAGAACACAAGCAAACTAGAGCAGATACTTCCAAATGCACAACTTGTATACAGGTTTTGTATATTTTTAATAAAAAATAAAACTACATGATTTGTGTATATGTAAATCAGAATTCTCTACAGTCTTGTTGATTTGCTTATACACGATTTCATTTCCTGAATTAATTTTACTCATCTCTGTTCTCTCTAACGCCACCATTAAAAAATCTCAGGGATTACTGAACTTGAAACTCATGCTGAGTGTAACAGGAGCTATAAAAAAATAGTTTGTAAATGTAGCTGGTTTTACATGCATTTTATAAATTTTTCTTTATACAGTAGTAAGAGTGGTAGGATTAAATGATGAAACAGTAGTCTTACATGGAAGACAAGTAGTAGGAGCTACACCTAATCTCATTCATCATTTACTAGCATATTTTTAAGCTGTATCATTTCTACAATAGATCAGATGCATTACATAGCTGTATTTCTCAAGTATTTAGCAGGACACGGGAGAATTCTTAAGAAAAAAGGATGCTGATTGTGTAGGATAATCGTTGGAATCACAGCACTTGAAGATCTTTTAAAAAAATTATAAAACTTGAAATTATTTAGCAGAGATTTCTTTCACCTAAGCTGTATCTATTTAATTTATTGAAGAAAATATTTGAAAAAGTGAAACGGTTTTAGATGCTACATTTTTGAAATTACTAAAACAAAGACTCAAACCATACATATCCATTCTTTTGTATGTAATTTCATTTTTATCATTCATATGTAATGAATGAGTCATACAAAGTTAATCACTTTTTGACATGCCAGTTTATAACTGAAATGGTAGCAGAGCTATATCAGAGAATTAGTTATACTGGAAAAGTATATTTTGAAAAAAGTGAAAGTGTCTAGTATTCTTTAAGTGCTGTAACATTTCACCTCTAATTATAAAGGATGCATATAATGGATATTTACGAAGTTAAACTCATATAGTAATATTTTGACTCGTGTACTGCAAAGGGTCTCATTTGCTTGGTACTTAATGGACATTTAAGTTTTTAATGAGAGTGATATTTCTGGTGATGTCAGAATTTCTGATTTGAATTGAATTTGTTTGTGGAGCAACAGAAAGGTTTTACTACTAGTTTCATTTCTCTAAATTGTGTAAGGCCTCTTTAGTGATAAGTAAGTATTTATATGTTTTACAGAAAATGGAAATTTCATCAATCACAACAGTGTATCAAGAAGCAAATTCTGAGTAAACTGGACAGACTATGGTACTGCAGTCATATTTACTGTGTTGCAGGTGCTCATTGTCAGCTTTCACTCTGCAGCTTTCACTCTGCATTCCTTAGGAATGGATGCAATTCTTCACCATATCCACAGACATTCAGAAGAGGTCTTTGGTTCTTAAGTGATTTAAATTCAGGGGTTTGAATCAATTTTCTTAAAAGCTTCATCCTTATTCAAAATAGAACTGATGCAACCAGAGCTGAAAATAGTCTTGATCTGCAGAACACCATCCTCCAGTAGCTTCTAAACAGCTTCTGCAATCATGTGCGCTCTTATCTACATATAGAAATGATATAATAAAATGTTACTAAGATCAAATGTGACTATAATTATCTAAGAAACAACTGATTATAATAATTTGAAAATCACTTTTAATTGAAAAAACTTTGAAAGCTTACATTCTCTAGAAATATATGGAAGTATGGTAACAGACACAGCACAAATCTTAATTTGGTGCATTAGTGAAGCTATGTCATATTCCAGGCCAGTTATGATTTTAGGATTTATTCCAAATTAGATAACATTCCCTTTCAAATACCACTTTCATCCCCACCTCCCACATATCCTCACAGCACCTAGTTGTATTAAAATTGTGGTTTATTAAAAATGAAATCCAAATTCAGCATGAACTCCATCTTGTGATGTAGATAATCAGCGGAGGAAACACTGCTCCACAGACTTGAAGGAGAATTTTTATATAACAAGCCGTTAATTTGTCTTAATATTTAGAAATTGTTAAATGTTAGAAAGCATTAGAACAAATTTGTGCTTGAAATAGCAAAGAGAAAGATCTAATCTCCATTTTTAGACATACAAATAATAAAACTCAGTGTTGCCTTCTGACTCCTACCTTTCTTTTTCTTTGTAGTGATCAGTCACAAAGTGACTCCAGTACTAAGGACTTCTGGATGAACATGCAAGCTATAACTTTCTACCTCAAGAAATTATCAGAGCAGAATCCATCTGCATCCTATTACAATGTGGATGTTTTAAAGTATCAGGTAAACGCTTTTTTCCCTTTGGAATTTTTTAAGGAATTCTGGCAGATTTCATACTACACAAAAATTAAAAGAGTTGTTCTTTGCCTGCTAGCATGCAGATGAACTGTCATCCCTCATCTAGACAAATTCTGGGTAGACCACTATGTACAGTGCATAGGCTCTGCCCACACTTAGTGCATTCCT